TACAAAGAGAACCTCAGGGATTCCAGAGGGATTTTTGAGAAGGGCAATTATGAGTCCTAAAAACACCAGTGGAAAGAAATACTGATTCACTAAACAATACAGTTAAAGACAGAAGACACATTAACTGTCTGCATTTTCCTCCTAATATGCATAAGACAAGAACGAGAATATCATTTCCAGAGTTTTTAAATAGCTACTTATTTAGATCACCAGAAAATGGCCCCATCCCACATAGGATGCAAAAACCCAGCGATCCACTATTAAATGAAGCTGTTCCAGATAAACTGTGAGCCAACTGACCCTGGAAATTTAGTACCCAAGTTGCGTGACTTGAAAATCTGTTCAAAGCAAGGCATGGCTGCAGGCCTTGACTGTTGTACTTTAGTAACCATAGTAACACGGTCTCTGGAGACCTAATGCTAGTGAATTTTCCTTTATTTCAAGGAAGAGTAATAAGAGAAATGTGGCTTGGAACTTGTTCTTTCCCCCTGCCCCCCCCTTATTTTTACTATGCCATGACCTTGACCAAAATATCTTTGAAGTATTTGCTGGCTGATTTTCTGCTGTGGGACCAGAAAAAAAAAAAAATCAGGATATATAAAGGTTCTTGCCAAAGGAAGTCCTATCTTCCTCAAAATATTTGCCTTCATTCCCAAAGAGAACCTCTTGACTAATAATGTTTCAAAAACTTTTTAATGGAAGGAACTGATAACTTTCATCTCACAGCTACTGCGGGCACCAGAATAATGTTGTACTTTCTTTGAACTGACAGATTAATTGTTTTTTGCTTCAGTAGCAGGTGCAGCTTTTCGTGAGTACATAATTGGATGTACATGTTTTTTTCAAAAGAACACAGGCCCCTGTCTGGTGCCAAGCTCTTTTTTTAATTTTTTTTTCCATTTGGGAAAAAAACCCACAATTTCATTTTTTAAGTACAATGTAGAAAACTCATGTAAGTGTTTTCAAAAAGCCAAATACAAACAAACAAATGTTCACAATACATACTTAAGTCAGTCTCACATGTTTCAGCTATTATCCTGGATTAGAAATTCCATCTGTCATTGAATCCATATGGTTTACCAAATGGCAGTTTACAACCATGTATTTTTTGCAGATTTGAACTTAGTTGTTTTTTGTTGCAAAAGTTCTAATGTCCACGCTAATATCTGTGTGTGTCTCTATATGTCACTGTGTCCCTGGGTGCTTGTATAAGTATATGCAAATTGCTAAAAATTGTGATAGGATGCAAATGGATCTTGTCGATTAAAACACACCAGTTGTACATGAAACAAATAACATCAACATTGAGCCGCGGAGGTGGGTTATTTCCTCCTCTAAATCCAAGAGCCCTATTTTAGGCTTTCCATTATTTCTACTGAAAAGAATAAAGTGAAACGAGGAGAGCTGCCTTTACTTCTCTGTGCTGTCCTCTGTGTTTTGGGCAGACACGTGCCTACATTAGGGAGTGCAAACTGCATGAGTATAAGGCTGGTCCGTGCCCTCTCTCCCTTTTCCTTCCCCCAGGTTATTGATAACCCAGGCAGATGGCCGCTGTGGTTCTGACACAGCGCACCAGTGCAGCCTCCTGTTCACTGGGAATGAGAGAAAGCTATCGCTGAGAATTTTATTTCAGTAACCGAGAATGTTTTAAAATCGTTAAGTGGAGCCATATACTTTGTTCTCCTGTTTACTGTGAGACTCAGTAACTCAGACCAAAAAAGCTGGGAATAGTTTTTGTTCGCTCTCATGGACTGAAGCTGTCTGTCTCTTCCACTCAGTCTAACAAATCACTAGGATTCTGGCCAGAATAACAGAAAATCTCTGTGCAGTGTTACTGTAAAGGGCTTGAGTATGGAGTTGTATATGATACCTGAGAGATTTATCTGAGAGGTCAGAAGAGGTCTTTTCCTACTAATTTGCAATCACTATTACCCTCATCTAGGGTACCGGACCTGTGCTAGCAAACACCCTCCTCCTTTCCCCAGCTGTGGTCAGTAGGTAAGAAGAGTATAAATCACAGCCCAACTCTGACTCTATTCAGAGTCCTCTGTGCTACACATGTCAGGTTTCACACCGAACTGCACTTCGGGGTAATACAGCAAAAACAAAAATTTCCAGTCATGAGTAAGACTCACTGGTTATGAAGTTCTACTCCATGTCCAGCTCGTCTCTTCTTAGTGTGGTCAAAGCAGCAGGTTTCCCAGCTAAAATGAGGTTTGGACACTCAGAATTTGTGTTAATCCTCAAGAGCTTCATGTGGCTCCATAGAAGTTGTTGCATCGAAATGGGTTTTGCTTTCCCTGCCTGCAGGGCAGAGCATCTGATGTCTGTGTTTGGGGTCATGAAAACCAGGCAATTCTTACTTAAGACATCTTAACTCAGAAAAGGACATCAGCATTTTGAGAACAAAACAAAAACAAAGCGGGAGAGGTTTGTAATTCTCTTCATTTACACAGCCCCCTCAAACTCATACTCGTTTTGGGCTTAAGTTAAACACATGGCTCCTTGAACTTTTTCTCCACTTCTTTCTTCTTGCTCTCTCCCACCCTTAATATCTCCTCCAACCTCACAGATGTAGTTGCCAGGCCACTGGTCTGAACTCTTAGAAATACACATGGTCCCATTTCCCCTTCCAGCTTTTACAAACTGCTGCACCTGGTCCAGCCCAACTCTGGCTTTGTGAAAGACAAACTTGCATAAAGAAAAAGCTGTCTGTCTTCCACTGTAGGGGAGAAAGTGTTACATCTTAAAGGTAGAGACTGATCTCTTAGGGTACACATCTGGGCCTAAAGAGTATGTATCCATATGCTGGATAAGAAGATTCATTTTCGAATAGGAGTATTTATTTTTCGATTCATAAAAACAACCCTTGGCAAAGGCAGGTGTTCTGCCATCTATTTCCTACAGGGGCTGAAAAACTCCATTTGGCCTGCAAGACAACGGAAGGCACATTTAAAGGATGTTCAGCATGATACCATGTGAGATTCTTTGATTATATTCAGATCTTGTAGTCATTTTCTAAGATTTCCCAGAAAGGACTTGGTGCATTAATTTGCATAGGTGAAGAACATTTCTTTAACGTTCTTAATTTCTACTTGCCCTGGCTGCACGGGCAGGACTGGAGGTCTTTTGGAACGTGCACTGTAACAGCTACAGACATCCGCATGAAGGAGCTCCCTTAAATGTCCTGTGGTTATCTTTGTGGAAATTTTTAGTCTGTTCAAATTAAAAGGCCTGCCAGATGTTCAAAATGTAATAAAATTCCTAACATCACATCGCTGATGGTTTCATTGCTGTGAAGATGAGTCCAAAGAGACAAGATGCCAAAAATGCTTTCTTGTCTCCACTTGACAATGGAAATGGATATGACAGGTACCATCTATGGAGGCTTCTCTCAGTGCAGTGAAAAGCACAGATGTGAAGATGTAGAAATCTTGACACATTGTCTTCTGGTTGGTGAGGTGCTGGGATGAATTTGGGCATTATTTAAAGCAGAAAATAGCACCAGTCCAGCAACACCTTGTGCTTGAAGAGTCGACAGGGATAACTAGTGTTCAACACAAACCCAACTAGGCAGAGATAATGCTTGTTCTGGAAAGGATCTATATCTATGCAGTCAACCTGGAGCTGAACACGGTTTGCCATTAACTATTCTTAGCAATGACTCATGGTTAGCATTGACTTGATTGAATCAGTTGCTGCTACAGCTCTTTCCAAACGTAGGTGAGCCATTGCAGTCTCTCCCCTCGATTTCTCTAGTCACCATTTCACAGGTTCTTTGAGGTGCAGAGCCCCTGGCTATGTATGGTCACTCTAGGCCACATTTCCAAAGGTGCTCCACATTTATGATTGGGGCCACATCTTCTGAGGAGGTCGGACTATTGTGCACTGAACTCTTGAAATTCTGCCCACCATTGTCACAGTGGGAACAGGCTTCAAGCAGTCTTGGAAATCTGGTCCTTATTTAGGAACCGAAAAGAGAACCAAGCTCACAAAAATATGTCAGTGTATCTGGTTACTGAGCAATTGAAAATCTGCCCTCATTGTGCTTCAGGATTAACTCAGGATTAATAGGCACATCGCTACAACAGTAAATAGAGAGAAAGGTGAAGGATAATAATATTATAGCAGTATTTCATCAGCAGCTATTTGAACTGTAATCTCAAAAGACCTCAAAACTGTCACATGAAAGGATCATCTAAACTACCTTGGAATGCAAGCCCGCTGGAGTGAAGATACGTTATTTATCAAGGGAAGAGAGGCAAAATTAGTCAGTCTGCGCGCAGCATGATGGATCTTAATGTTTACGTCATGTAGTTCATTTAATCCTTACTTTTATTTTTGGATTTCTCTGGTTGCTTTCCTTGCATCACTGCATATATGAGGATTAATTTAGCTTTTTTCTAGACTAAACATTGGTCTATATCAGTGAAATATTTATTGCCTACTTTTCTATTCATTGCATTTATTCAGTTATGTTATGTATGTATTTTTACAGAAGCTGAAGAAAGTAGCCATACTTTAAAATACATGTCCAGTTTTAAAGTCATAGCTACAACAGTACATATATTTAATTGTCTTCTTGGAGATTATTATATTACCTATATGTATCAATGCATATAAATTCAAAGCAATTATTATAGAATGTAATGTTTTAACTTAAAAGCAAAAAGAAGTAGTTGACACTTGCTATTAAACTTTTAATTATATGAATTAACAACAAAATAAAATTTCAAGTAGATAATAAACTAGTAATGTAATATGGTAGTCACACTGCAATTAGCTATCCTAACTTTTTTAAAAAAGGAAAAAAGCATGTTCCAGATTGTTATTCATTTTTCATGCTAGGAAAAAAAGACTTTTCTGCAAAAATTTGATGTCCAAATTTTTGCAGTGATTTTTTTCATATCTAGAATATTCTTAAAATTATTACATTTTATACCCATTTTTCTCTTTACTTTCTGATTATCTTTTTAATTATTTTATTTTCTCTTCTTTAGTCACTGAATGGTTTTGCGTTGGTGGTGAGTGCAGATGGAATGATATTTTATGCGTCATCAACAATTGTGGACTATCTAGGGTTTCATCAGGTAAATATATTAACAAACATTTACAATACTTAGTCACTGTCATTGTAATGACTTTCTTGTAGTCACTTCTGCTAACTGGCTTTCTAAAATGTTTCACCTTATCCTTCTAGTGCTGATTAGACATACACTGTTACTGAAATTAAGTTATTTTACTATGCCAGTTCAGATTAATTTTCTTTCTTTTTTTTTGGTGATCTGACAGGTGAAGATGAATTCCTTGTAATGTTGTCCCTTTTGTAAAGCTTTTGTTAACAGAAACATGATCCATTATAAAAATAAGACTTAGCTAAAAGTTGCCTTTCAATTTCAGTTGCCTGTATATAATAAATACATTGTACAGTCACAGAATAACAGAACCATGTAGTTGGAAAGGACCTCTGGAGGTCATCTAGTCCAACTGCCTGCTCAAAGTAGACCCAGCTACAGTAGGTTGATCTGGTCAAGTTTTGAGTTTCTATGACCGCTCTGGAAGATGTGTTCCAGTGTTTAACCACCCTGACTGTAAATTTTCTTCACTTATATCAAGTCCCAGTTTCCCATGTTGTAACTTGTGTCTGTTGCTTCTTGTCCTCCCACTTTGTTCTTCTGAGAAGGGTCGCGCTTTAACTTCTCTACACCTGCATATTCAGTTGATGTAGACAGTAGTAAGTTCTTCCTGAAGTTTTCTCTTCTTAATGTTAAACAAACCCTGTTCTTCTCTCCTCTCCTGACATGTCATGTGCTCCAGCCCTCCTAAGTGTCTTGGTAGCACTCTCCTGGGCTCACTTCAGTATATTAATATCTTTCTTTCCTGGAGTACCCAAAGTTAGAGAGAACTTTGCCTTTGTTGAACTTCCTGAGGTTCCTGTCAGCCCATTTTTACAGCCTGTCAAGGTCTGAGTAGCTGTCCTGCTCTCCCCAGTTGGTACCCTCTGCAAACCTGCTGAGAGTGCACTCTATCCCATCATTCACTAATCAAGAAAGTAAACAGGGTTGGTCCCAGCATCAGTCCCTGGGGGATGCCACTAGTCACTGGCTGCCAGTTGGACTTTTCTATGACTCATGTTCGCATATGCACAGAAGACTTCAGAATAAAAAGAACAGATCTTAGGATGTGAAGTCAAAAAGCAGATGTGAAAAGCAGGGGCCTCTGAAACAACTCTCCTCAATCAATCTTTGCTCTGAAGGTATCTTACACCAGTCATTATTTTAAGGAAAGTATCAACCTAAAGATAAGTGCCTGCCCCACTACACTTACAAATGAAACATTTCTTGTTGTAATTGTTCCAGACTGATGTAATGCACCAAAACATATACGATTACATTCATGTGGATGATCGCCAGGATTTCTGTAGACAACTGCATTGGGCCATGAATCCTCCCCAGATGTTGTCTGGACAGCAACTACAGACAGAAACAGGTGGGATTGTATACATTGATTGGAAACATAGGCACCACTGTATAAAGTTAGAATTGCACTCCACCTACTCCCATGCCTGTTCCATGTCAAGTCTTCACTGGAAAGCTGCATAGTGGCCATTTATAATGTTTTCATCCCATAAATGGTATTTCTTCCTGATCCTTGACATTTCTAAGGTAGTGTGTGATATTGAGGTTAGACAGTTGATGTTTCCTTTATTTTTCTGTGACTAATGTACCTGCAGATATTCTATGCAGAATGAAAAGCACATTGTTCATCCTACCAACCTTTTGTCCATACTGATCAGGACATTAGTATTTCTCTCATTAATGCAAAAAAAAAACCCCAACAAACCCACAAGACATTTCTGTACAGTACCACAGCAGCCACATCACTTTTCCCATTAGTTTTCCCAAGCAAAGTTATGCAGATAGGGTTTTTCAGAAGAACTAGTACGTTTAGCGATGCCTTTTTTCCTCTGAGGCTGTATTTCCTAGGATGGCCGGTGCATACGTGTTCTTAAGGTTCCTCCCACATAAGGTCTTAAGCTGAAATCATGACTACAGAAAATACAATGGGGTGGAAATTGTGAACTTTATAAAGAATTATTGATCCCAGCAAAATGTATGCATTTCACCAGAAGGTGAGGAAGTAACTGAGGAAAGAAATTGAGGAAGCACATTCTCCAGAATGGTGGGGAGAAAATTGCGAGGAACCCTTCAGCAGCCTTTATGAAGTCCTCAGGAACACAGTCACGAAACTTTCGTAGAACTTCTTGCAGTTTCTGTGTTTTGCAAGAGTCTTAAAGATATCTGAGGAACTTTGCAAGACTTTGGAGGAAGTATGCAGAAAACAAAACAATGTGCATGAATATTTCAAACTATTAAAAGTTACAAACATTTGCAATTTTTGTCCTAATATATACAGTGGAGAATTTTAGTTCCTGAGTTCATACTTATGCACAAATACTTGTGTCTTTTGGGAAATAAGTGTTTCACAAGCTATGCACTTGTAGTCCAAAACTGGAAAATTCTTCACTAAAAATCAAGGAGGCAACAGCTGAACATTAGCTAATTAGCCACTGTTCATTTGTTTGCTTTTTTCTTGCATTAGCGTTTTTCCTTATTTTGTTCCTTTTTCTACTGTATTTTCTGGGATCTCTGAACTCAAACCCAGCAACATCTGTTACCCTGCTTTGCATCATTAAAAATCACCAAAACTCAGGAAATAAAAAAGTCAAAGTTTCTGAACAAAATCACCTGAATCCCATTGTAGAGCTCTTCTTTTTTCTTTTGGTAGAGCATGTGCAGATGTACCTATACATGACACAATTTAATATTTGCCCTTCCATAAAGTAATTTTTAGTGTTTTCCGTAACAGCTTCTTCAATTGGCTACAGAACATTTTAATTCTTTCTTTGTGTGATCTGATATATATTGCCTCCACTGTTGTTCCTAGGAGAAGAATATATTCTCAGTAAATTGTTTAAAGCACAAGAGAACGACAGCACGACAACAGATTATTCTTCCTTCTTAACTCGTTGTTTCATCTGCCGAGTTCGCTGCTTGTTGGACAGTACTTCTGGCTTCCTTGTAAGTATAATTTCACTTAGAGAACTGTAGTCATGACTTACTAGATTTTAATTACTTCATATGAAAAATATTTCAACATAAATACTGAACATAAACATCGTGGAGAACCATGGACAGGATACACTTTTCATTTGCTGTGCACTAACGAGAAATACCTAAACACATTTATTAATATGTATAATGAGTGATGGGAGAGAAGAAGGTTGAAAGATTTGAAACTGAAAAAATCTAGAAACTTTTATGTTTTAAGCTCTTTTGGACAACATCTGTCCTCGATTTGTATTGGGTCTAGCACAAGGGCGGCAAGCCTGAGTTTCAACAACTAACATTTAAGCACAAAGTATTTGCTTTAAGAAACAGGAATAATAATCATCCATTTTCCCCTTTGGTAAAGGGTCCTTTAATAATAAAAACCAGAATGAGAAAGTCTCTCACACACTCCTCAAATATCCTTACTAGGAGTGGCTCGTTTCTAGAAATCACTTCCCCATTAGCTTAGTACAGACCAATGCTCTTTCTTCTTATGACAAAGTATGGTGTGTGCAAAGAAAATGAGAGGATCAGCACGAGACAGAAATGCAACTTCTGTCTCAGATGCTCATTTGCTGGAAGACCATGGGTCTGAACAGCAGTACCAGTTAGTCATTTCTACATCCCTGTTTTAATCTTGTAGCTCTGGAAAATGCCCAACTCAAATGGACTGATTTTTCTCTGGTCATTTTGTGGTAGGTAATTTTTTCACTCAGAGGCAGCAGCTTGCTATGAACTCGATCCCTGTCTTCTCATTACGTGGAGATTTGGGGCAGGGATGGATAGTTCCTTCCAAGCAATGTACTTTGCATCTGGCTATCTTGGGCATATCCTCTCCCTTGGCGTCTCTTTGCAGAGCCCTTGGGTTGTGCCACTTCCTAGAGAAAGTGCAGGGCAAGAGGAAAGAAACTCAGGAACCATTTCACTGGAGAGAACAGAGCATGGAAAAATATAGAGCCAGCATCAGAGTCAGGCATAGAGGAAACAGCTGTTTTCACCACCATACGCTGCCCATCTCACCTAACAGAACACAACGCAGAACTACTGCTTTAAGTACACAGGAGAGAAAAAAAAAACCCAAACCAGCCTCAAATGTCTCATTTTACTGTTGATAGTACCTCCACTCACCACGCCTCTGAAATGGCATGGTTTAAATTGTATGAAAATAATGAAATTCCTGGTTTTTCTCCCTGTTTCAAAACTGGTTTTGATGTTAAACAACATGGTCCTAGGTCATATTTGCATTTTTAATGTTTATATACTAAACACTTAACATAATTCTATTGGTTTTTTTTTTATAACAGACAATGCAGTTCCAAGGCAAACTAAAGTTTCTTTTTGGACAAAGGAAGAAGTCCTCATCAGGGACAGTATTACCACCACAGCTCTCTTTATTCTGCATAGTGGTACCACTTCTGCTCCCTACCATGACAGAGATGAAGATGAAAAGCCTGCTTGTGAAAGCAAAACACAAGGCTGACGATGCAGCAGCAGTGAATACAAAGTATTTTCAAATTAATCTTTTAGCAGTTAGTAAAGTATACTATGGGCTTTGTGTTTATTAAGAATGTAAAAAGCACAAATTAGGCTAAATTACTCTTCATTTTAAAGCTCTTTCTTAGAAAAGTGAATAATTTATTTTGATATAATGGTGTAATATAATATGATATATTTCACTTTATGTATAATGCACATTAAGAGTTATATTACCTTATATATAATTTTATGTAAAAACTGGGAAGTTAGGTTATCTTCCTAACCTTCAGAAGTTACCATGACAATAAGTCATTCTACTAGTTGTAAAAGTGGTAAAGAAAAAGTATTTTTACTGAGAGTTTTCAATTCTCAGTATCTTCTGGTAGTGCAATTTTTTGGACTTGGGCATTTCAGTAGCAAGCAAAGGAAAAGGAAAACTTTAGAAAGCTGAATGTGCGTGCGGGTGGTTGTTCACATAGAGTCAAATGAGATGTATTGGGTGTGTGTATTTATCTTACAACAGAAGGCTTATGAATTCAAAAGTCTACAATTGCATTAAATGGCCTGGGGCTGATCACTCAGTAGCAATCACAGAAGATTGGGACAGATTGTGTTCAGACTCATTTCCTTCCTAACACTTATTTTTGTTACTCTTCTATGATTGAATTTTAGTTGATGTTTGGGGCTAGGATTATATTTTCCCTTATTTGGTTAAATATAACCTTACAGCAATGAGGTCCATCGGTGTGAAGCAAAATGCTCTTTAGTGTGACTGACAGCATCATAATTTGGCTTTTAATTAGACTATGCTTGCGTATGTGTGGATTTACTCTCCAGGCGTGTAATGTGGTTCTAGCACATACATCCTTTTGACAAGAATTAAATTACTGGAAGGCTGATATAACATACCATGCAGGCTTTTGGAACAGAGCTGGAAAGTCATTTCCACTTGTTAGTTTTTAGTGGGCCAGGTGAAACGAATTGACGATCAGGATTCAGCTCCTAGAAAAGAGGTACTTTACATCAGTTTTACTAACTGACTGAACAGTGGCCAAGGATTTGACAAGAATGAAGTGGGCGTTTAACTTCAATGTTTCCTCTGGTTCAGACCTGAAGCCATGCTGGCCAGGCACGGTGGGCAAATCTATATAGTCGTTTCTTTTCTGACGGTCTTAATAAAGGCAAAAAAATTGTAAAGCAGTATTATGGACTTTGCGCCCTTTCCAAGCCCTAATATGCATTTTTAACTAAAGACTGGAAGAAATTAATTCAAATCATATGATCATTATTGCAAATTGAAGTCATGCTAACTCTTAAGTGCATTGCTGGATTACTGGTCAGTGTGATGCATGTACCTTGAATGTACCTTGAATAGGCAGAGGAGAGTATACGCAGTGTTTGTCTCAATTCAAGCTGAAACTTATTACTCCAGATATAGTAAGTCATGAACAGAATATTCCTAAACATAAATATTCCTCTTAATTGAATGCAGAATTCCAGTCATACACTAGTTTGACCAAATTAATGATGCAGGAAACAAAGATAATTATTTAGTGTTGGCTACTATATATTTAAACCATAAGTCTTTGCTAATGGTCAACAGCTTTGTCCTGGTTTGTGGATCACATCTTTCAGAGTTTGTGATTTTACTGTGTTGTCATTCACTGACAAGGAATTCTCCACCTTTTCTGTCCTCTACAGCTCCAGTTCCAAAGGTAATTCAGGTCTGTGTGAAGCAGCAGAATTATATGGAAGAAACAGTCATCATGAAGGTGCAGCTTTCACTAATGTGTTACAGATTGCTGAAAACCAAATCAAAGGTGTGCCTGCTAAGTACTTCTGAATTATATACAGTTTATGGAGAAAGAATCTTGTCTTTTCTTTTCTCCTGTTAGGTCTTCCAGGTTTTGGTCCCAATGATCTATTTTTTTCTGCTCTCTAAAACCACTTCTGTAAAAAAATGCAAAAAAAAAAAAAAAATGACCACCTCAAAAGACAGTACTGAATTAGTCTGCTATTTTGGAGGGGGCAGAAATACAGTGATGCCGAGTTTACAGATATATAAACAATCATAGTAAATACGAATACTCAAAGTAAGCTTTCCTAAATATGGCAGCACTGAATTTAACAAGATTATGTGAAAGTCTTAGTAATAAATGACCATATCTATCCCTCTCTGAGGAAAACTGGATAATATTTTACGAATGCTAGCTTTTCCCAAAGATCAGAAAACAGAGGAAAATTAGAATATATTGTCTTTAAAACTCCGGAGTTGCTTGCACCTCTGACTCATGCTTTTCCAGTGTTTGCTGTGCCAATATTACGAGAATCTATACTGTATTTCAGAACTTACCATGGATAAAATTTTGATGGTGAGTCTACCCCAACGGGCAACTTCTTACCAAGTAGAGTTGTACTCAGCCTTATGTCATGCCTGCTGGAAACCTTTAACTTCTTTAAAACCATTCCTCTGTCGTAGCCCCATTTCTTATGAACGTTTTCTTGCTGGTATAGTGCTGCTACTGAGAGGAAAAAATTATAATGAATTAATAATATTGAAATATCCTTGGTTACAGTTTAAGTACCTTATTAAGCTTTTCAAATTTTATTTTTTAAATGTAATTTGCCTGGTTTTGTAACATACTTTAGCTTGTAGTTTCCTATGCTGATGATTCTAGGGCAGCAAACAAACTTGTGAACATTCACCTGTAGTTTAGATAAGAAAAAGTATTAAATACTGCTTGTATTAAAATAGATTTTTCTTTCAAATTGTATAGCAAAGAATAATGGAGAAAATGGCATTTCTCTAGTCAAAGTACAAACAAATGAAGATCATTGGGTCTGGGTTCAAGCTAACACTCAACTTCTGTATCGAAGTGGCTGCTCAGAATATGTCCTTGCCCAACAGCAAATGTTAAAGTAAGTATATTTTCCAATACTAAAAGAAATCTATATTTCAGAAAAGTGAATATATTCTTTATGTATAAGATCTTTAAAAGGACTGTAGTGACCTAAGAGAAGAGCTGGATGAGAAGGATTTAGTTTACTTACAAAATGGAAATCCATTTTTGTCTTGGATCATATGAAATGCTGTTAAAATTCTAAACAATATTTATTTCTTCAGTCTTTATTTCTTCCAAAGTTGACTGTACATACCTACTAAAACAGAATACTTCAAAATGCTTGATTATTAACATGTTTTTACTTTCTTGCACAAAAATGCATTTTGGGGTTTTGTTTTACTGCGCAGCTGAAACTCTTCACTGATTTAGTGTCCTGTTTTTTCTATTTTTTAATATTTGATTATGTTAAGCTTTTTTTTCTCTTTATGGATGACAGTTGAGCTCATATTTTTAGTTGTGGATGTTCAACATAATCTAAACAGGGATCCTCATGTGCATTGCATGCTTGTAGATAGATACATGTAGTTGGCTGTAGGCTCAGCCTTGGAGTGGAAGCTAATCTCACAGATTTGCATTCAAAGAGGACCTTTCTGCTGGGTTTTAGCCTTTCCCCCCAAATAGGCTTTTCTTCCTTCCCCCACGGGATTGCCTGTTCCGGTTCCTGTGGGTCTTGTTAAATTCTCTCTTCAAGCTGGTCTGAGGGAAGAGATAAGAGAGTGGACTGAATGAGCAGGGGCCAGGAGGTGTACACAGCGGACATCTGGCCCCGTGGAAAAAATGTGCCTGTTATCACTGTTTTTTTTCCTTTAGGATGCCTCGCAGGTGGAAGAAATAAATGAAGTCTTTGAACTTTTAGAGTAGATATCCCTTGCAGGCAGCGTATCTCCCAGGATCTGCATGAATAGCAGAGGAGGTCCCACCTGGGGGTGGTGGAACTCTTCACCTTTACTGGGAAGGCACAAACGTCATCTTGCTATGTGAGGGGATGAACTTCTACTAAGAAGCAGATTAAAAGGGGCTGTTTCTTGTAATCAAGTCTACTTCTGAATTGTTTTTTGTGTAATCAAGCATGCTCTTTGATGTTTATTTAGTTACATTTTTAGCCTCTGAGCGGTTAAAATCCTTTCTTTGTGCTTGACAGTTCTTGCAGACTGAAGTGTTACAAGAGTTGTCCTTGGAGATTATATTCAAGACATACATATATGTCTTGTCTGCAACAGACTTCATGCTTACTACTACTTTTTTTTTTTTACTTTTTTTTTTTCTGTATGCTGTCTTCCTGGAAACATACATTCTTTTGGAGAATTTTCACTAGATACTATTTCACTGTAAAATTCTTCATTTGGGAGTCTAAGCTTTTGTGACTATTGCATTTTGTTCAGTCCGTTGCTTCCCAATTAGGCCATTTCCTGAGAAGTTAGTTCTGCAGCAAACTTGTATCATATCATTTGCATCTCAAGACTATCAATAATAACAATAACAATATTTAGCAGAGGACTGAAAATATTTAACACCTCATGAAAAAAAAAATAGAGAAAATATTCTCTTTTCTTGGTGTACATTTATTGCAGTGGGACATTCTCTCTTTGTAACAACATGGACTCCCTCTACTGGAAAACCCTATATTTGCACATTGATTCTATACCCAAGGAAAAAGTTCTTAATAGAGAGTTAGAAAAAGCCTTCTAAATCCCTTACTAGCTCTCCTGGTTTTCACACTTGGTTTCTTGCTGAGACGTCTGCTTCTTGTTTGGAGAGGGAGGGAGGTGGTATCATAGCACTGATCCTGCCTGGTCGGGAATCAGCACATCAGTGAATTCCAGACAAATCCTGAACCTGCAGATTTGGACACCAAGCTCTGAAAACTGCTGCATGGGACATGGAAATGCTCAGGCAACTTTCTCTGCTGGAGCTCTTTGTTAATGTTGATACTTCAGCTGGAGGCCATGGAAAATGAAATCACTGGCCATCATAAAAAATGAAAGACAACATGAATTAAGTTAGACATGTAAGCCAAACCTACACCAAATATGAACACCAGTGACTATTCTAGACATGTAATTCAGGCATTTTATTCCCCCTCAGCTAACTCTGCATTCAGGAAATATAAGACCCCCATGGCTCTCCCTCAAATCACCTTGATCAGAAAGTTCTTATGTGTCCAAATAATTCCTTGTTAACAAAATACACTTAATTTAAGATACTCTTTTCATTTCATCTCTAGATTTTTGTGCACACAAATATTATTTAGATATATTTTAATGGAAGAACAAAAGTGTAATGTAGTTACCATACTGTACTACAGTATTTATGGTCTTTGTGAACTGTGTACCTGAAATGGAAGAGTAAATACATGTCAGAATTTAAATGAAACAGTGCCACAGAAAGGTAGTTGTGCACACATTGATGCCCAGATGCATGCACACTCTTCTTCTCTCAAACAAATGCAAATGGTATATGAGCAAGAGTGCGAGAGTCCCATATTAAGTTAAGGAGAAAGTACCATTTGTAATGTATGTCAAGCCACTCCATTTGTATCCTTGAAAACACCTATTTAGAAACCTCTGATTGATTTATTTTTTTCTACTGTTATTGAAAGGGAAGAAGATGAGCAACTGAAAATACCAAGCAGTTTTGCCAGTTTGAAAGGAAACCTGGAAGGACTTTCCTATAACAGTGCCATTGAAACTCTGGGCCAGTGGAAGCATCTTAACTGGACAGCAGTAAAAAATGAACAAGATAATGTAAAAGTGAAGTTTGAGCCTCATACAAATGGTGAGTGTTTTATGCAAGAGGAACCTCTCAGTTCTAACACATCAGTTTTAGGCGTTCAAAACAACTGTACCACAAACAGTAGCTGGACTTTGAGAAACTCAAGCTCTTGTTCTATGAGCCAGCGAATGAACACATGTTCAAACAGGAGAGCTGGATCATTCTACAACAGAGACCAAAGTGTCTTAAATTTAGCATCAACTTGCCCTTCCCACTGGGGGAGTGCAGAAAGCTGCCAGTCTTACTCGGGTGTACAACAGCGTTGTGCGGAGAACTATGCGACGGACCATCTGAAATTGCAGAGACCATTAATATCCTCAGAGTCTGTCTATGACGCAGCCTTTCCCTTGGAGATGCCTGTCAAAACGGAATACGATTCCGATTCTGAAAACATTGCCGATAACTACTTGACATCCCAAAACCGAGCCTGGCTGGATGAGAACGGCTCCGTGAGAAGGCAGGTGTTTAGCTACCCCAATAGAGTGCACCTCAAAACAGAACCGGACCTCTGTGAGCCAGCCTCACCTTGTCAGAAGCCAAGGCACTGCCTTTACACGCCGCATAACTGGCAATGCATTGTAGCAAATCATCCCAACAACCTAAACCTGAACAGATCTTGCAAGGGTTCACGTAGCAAGGAGGTGGCCCCATTTTGCCCTCAGAACTCCTCTGGGTGTTTGGAAAGCATGCCTGACCTGCCACACATGGCGTGCTATGGCCATTTCTACAGCCCCAGCCCAGGGGAGGAGAAAGAGCAGAGTAATGAGGTTTTTAAAATGCCATGTGAATTTAAAAACCCCTGCTTGGTTCAAGCAATCAAGCGTGAGCCTCTGGATTCTCCACCGTTGTCCAACAGTGGACAGATTAGAGTACACATGAGCTTCCCTGAAAATACATTAGCAGGTCCTGTGCCTCATAAAACCACTGAATGTACATTTTTACAATAGATTTTATAACATTTGGAATATTTATAATGTTAAAAGCAAGAAGTTGTAGATTCTCTTCCAGTTGGGTTAAATGAGTTACTAAAATTAAAAGCCAGTGGAAAGATTTTGAGTGTGTGTGTGTGTGCATCTGTGTGTGAGAAAAACCAGACACAGATACACACACCCTTCACCCCCCCACTGCCCTTTTCTTGGTGATCTTTGCAAAGAAAGAAAGGTAAAACCTCAGGCACAGAAAAATAATCCTTACTCACTGCACAGGTACACCTGCTAATTTGTCCTTATCATCTTTCCTCTCTTGTCTACAGTTCATTACCAAGATCTAGCTATTTCTGTTTCCCGCCTTTGTTCTGTTTGTTTTTCTCAAGCTGATGTGATGCCTCTGTTCAAAGAGAAAATGTTTATGGTCTTCAGTGTTGCCAGTTCACCTTAGGAGTTTTCTATCTTCATTTTTTTGCTACTCTAATAAGAAGCATCAGCTATTCCTTTATCTCAACATAAATTAATGGCAACAGGCAAGGGCTTTCCAACACAACTTCTTAATTTAAAAGGAGAGCATTAATTAGAACAAATTACTTTCATAAAATGCATTAGAAATTATTTCACTTCAAACTGAAGTTCTTCCCAAGTTTCCTTAGTAATACTAATGTTTTATTACACATATTTTTCCATTTTAAAGCCATCGGCCTTTCATGTTGCTGTTTGAAAAACTGAACAATGGCACGTTATCCACTTCTATAAATGAGTTACAAAGTGCTGTTAAATGTACATGAGCAGAAAATATTTCTCCAATTATTTTCCCTGCTGTTACTTGTAATATTAACACAGGAAATGCACCTTTTAATTTGATGGTATTTCTTTGACTGCTAGCAGCTTGTTAGACATCGTCACCTGACATGAAAACCAAATCCCACACCAAGATTAGATATGTTATTTTCAAAAGCATCCTAGTTTCATTCCCAAAAGAAAAGCTTAATCTCACCAAGAGCTAACTGGAGGATGTATACCTTTCAAAAGCACCTTGGTGCTTTTGAAAACAGATTTGTATTCTTTCCTTTGAACCCAGAAAGTAATGTATTTCCATACCCCACACCCCCCAGCTTGTGTTTTCATTTTTGTTGTTATTGTAGTTTGACTCCTGCACTAACTTTTGTTTTAAAATTGCACTATTTCAACTTTATATCAACTTCACCTATATAAAAAACACATCACTTAAAAAAAGCTTAGATGTATACGGGCTTTCTGAAAGAAGCCCTATAACGAATGTTTTCTTTTTCAAAATGTTATAAATAACTATAAAGTCTTCATTGCTATATCTACTAGCCACTTTGGCCATGGCTTTACATGCCAACAAAGTGGCATAAACTTCTCCCGACTGCTATAAATAAGAGGGATAAACGTAGTTTCCAGGTAGGGGAATGGATCTGCACCTGGGCGGCTGCTATTCTCCAAGACTGTCTGTCTTCTCTGATAGAAACTTCTGCCTTTATGTTAGAGTTGGCAGATGTAAAGATGTACATTCTCTGCAAGTCAGGTAAGTGCTTGTGAACAATGATTTGATGTAAAATGCTGCACTTTACACTGAAATGGTTGAGATAACACAGGTCCTTTTTGATGACTCTCCTGCAGAAGGCAGTATTCCCCACAGAAAGGCAAGAGTGGGCAGTAAAGAAGTGCAATAATGTCTTACTGTAGCTCAAGTTTAATCTGCCATAGTCCAGCTGACCATACCAAAGCCATAAGAACATATCGTTTTTTTATGTCTGAGGCTATGTCTCCTATTTGAGACAGTCTTGATGTCCTTGGCTTAATACTTTTACCAGTGCGTGCAATGCAACATCAGACCCCTTTCAGAGATGAGACAGTAATAGTGGTATTTACACTGCTCTCTGGTACATCATGGCTCATGTCACTGAGATTTAATCCCAGTCACAAAAATACTTCTGGGCAAGCAAATTGGGTACTCATGTAGCCTCACGTGAGGCTGTCAGATATCAATGGTGGTGCACAGGTCTGCCTTGTTGATTCACTGTCTACAAAAATGAGATCAGCAGTTCCTTTTAGACTCTCTCAGAATAGCTCTTACAGACCATTGCTTGGCCTCCAGCAGTGGCACTGCTTACGTCCTGGTGCCAAACACTCTGCTGTGGCAGCACAGCCGCTGGTAGGATTGTGCTATGAACCCTGTAATATTCTCCAGTCCAGCTCTTTGTGCAGCTGCCTGGCTGAAATGGGCTAGTGTGGAGACAGGGTAGTGTGGGAATAGGTGGCTGGGTAGAAGTGGCGGACATGCCAGCAGGACTGCTGAAAAGCTGCTCATTAAATTCCATGTTTGGACTCACTGTCACACCCCTCTGAATGAGAGTACCTCGGCCTCGTTTCACACTACCTTCCACCTTCTCTCATCATTTACATTGATGCAACATGACTGTAAAACACTATTATCCTCATCTGGACATGCTGGTGCCATTTCGCATGGATGTAAGTGGTTATACCAGGTGCAACACTGCAAAGGATTGTGCCACTGAATGCCTTGTCTCTGCTTAGAAATATTTCCTGGCGTGACTACAGTAGAACTCTACCAGCCAGATTTCTCTCTTCAGTGCACAAATAACTTCTATTAACAACAGCAGTTCTCTATAGGTCTCTCTGTTACAGAATAAAGGCTATTTTGTTGACATAACTCTACTGCAACGCTTTCCTGGTTTATTTCAATTAGGATTATTTTTCTCATGTTCCAAACAAAGCCCACCCAGAATTTACACATCTTAATTGATATTACAGAGGTAGATGAAGCTTCTGCATGTAAGAGAATCTAATCTGATGTAAGAAATGTAATGACTTTCTAGGAGGGTGGATGAACATGTGCCTCAAAAGTGAGATGTCACTTTCTGACTCCCCCCTGTGTAAATGCAGTCAGGTTTGCCTCCTTATTTCATAAAGTCTGAACCCAACAAAAACACACTTATCCTGTGTATCAAATTTGAATTTGGCCCACTCAATTTGCGGCCAAGTTGTTATTCCAGGTCTCACATAATAATATGTGGCATCAGTGAAATTCTTTCTAGTCTAAGTTATCACACACATGCAGTAATCTTTCTAAGAATTGTACTTATAAAGAGATCAGCATCTTATCCTCTTTTTGGACAATTGCTAACCACTGTTGATAGTAAACAAAGACCAATTCCTTCGAAGTACTTGGTATATCACACCATTTGGAAAGAACAGAGGAAAGAAGTATTAAAAAATAATCTCATGCTATCTGCTTTTAAGGCACATATATTCCTTTGATCTCTCAGCACGACATGTGCCTTGGATTGAGTCTGGACTGAAATCTGACATTGTATTGTAGCCTGTTAAATTGCCACGGATTTAATCTTATAAAACCTTTTTGTATGCAGACATTAATGACCCCCTGACACTGATCACTAAATAGCATGTAAGACAGAGCAGTTTTTTTAAATCATTACATTTTCTTAGTGGTTGTTATTGCTTTGGTATTACTTGAAAAACTAGCACTGAGAAGTGGGGTTTAGGATGTTTTCAGTCACTGGTGTTTAGCTTTTATCCTTAACGAGCTGGTATTCATATCCCTCAAGAGCAGCCCTAAAGTCTGTTTTAGGAGCCTCCCAATACATTTATTGTAACAACAATAAAAAAAATTCTTCTTGTAGAAGAAATGCCTCATCAAATGCTTGCCTGATATGAACTTGAAGCACTCTGGCTGAAAGGAATGCCTTTTTCCAGTGCGTGCCTCTAACACCTGAATGATGATAGCATTCAAACTTTTTCAGCCATAAACTCTCCAGAGGCTGAGAATGACCTCATGAATTCTAGTGTTTGGGGAGGGTATTTTTTGGTATGGAAGGTGAGCAGATCTAAAAGCTCTGAGAACGTGTCTCCCTCTGAGATGTTACTCGGTGCACAGACAGCAGAGACTATTATCAATGCTAAAGTTGCTGATTAGGGTTGTCTTTACTGAGAATGTGGCCTGATTTTAGCTATCAGCGGAAAGCTGCTGAGCATCATACAAATGCTAGTCCAACTGAAGTACACCATTGTAAGCCACTATTTTTACTGAAAACCAACCTGATTTGATCTAGGGGTAAACTTGTAGACCAAAATTTTCCTGCTGCTTCTAAGGTTTGCTGGGATGCAGTTGCACCAGTGGCAGACCTCCATTGTAGATAGCACAGTCAATAATTTATATTCACTTGAGATTCTTTGGATACCAAAGTAGAGCTTTGTTTTGAAAATCTGATGTGAGGGCAGCAGTGTGCAAGGGGTAAGCTGGTTTCAGTTGGTCCTCAGTTTGGAGATTTAACTAGTCAAATGAAAGATCAAGGGACTGTACCTAAATTCTCTGTAGGAAAGACTGACTTCCTACTCCTTGATTGTTACACAGTAATGTGAAGTATATCTCTATGTTTTAATCATCCTTCATTAGAACACAGTGATGTAGTCTTAAAATCCTTAGAACTGAGTCCCCTCTGGATGGTCTGACTTTTGTGCATCAGCCAGGTTGGTAAGACTTTAGGCGCCGATCCTTTGATACCGTATTGAGATCAACAGGGCACGTGCAATTCTTCCTGAAATTCCTAGTGCTTAAAATACTTAAGTGGCAGGCAACAAGCCTGTGGACAGGAATAGTCTGACGGATAAGATCAGCTTCTGCTCCCTAGAAGCCTTTCTTAACTCTCTGTGTTGAAGCCATATTGGAACTTAAGTAGGACAGCCTCACCCACTGTAGTTATTTCAGAAAAGCCATTAATTTGTATTATATGTGTGATGTTTTAATGGCAACAGCGAAAACACACCATTTCCCCTACCTAGGAATACATACATCGCCTTAGATAGTGAGAAAAAAGTTAACGTACTCATTTTTTTTCATCAGTGTCATGTAACTAAAAAACCCAACCTCAGAATGATGAAAGTATAGAGCCGTTGTTCTATTTTTCTTGTCTTTTCTTTCTTCTCTCTTCCTTTCTTTCTCTCTCTACTGT